TTGGGGGCCTGCCTTCTCCCATTGCCTGGGGGCTTGGTGCTGAGGTGGGCCTGGGGACACAGACCAAGGGCAGAGCTTGGGTGTGCAAAAGACGCATCCCCGGGGGGATGCTGAGGTGTGGGAGCCAGACTAGGATTTCACTGGCCTTGGGGTCTCTGAAATCTGGGTCCCCTTTTCATGAAGGGGGACTGGGGCAGCTCCATGGGTAGGTTCTTAGGGTCCCACTGACACAAATTTTAGGGAAGACAGAGGTTTAATGGAGGAGCGGCTGAGCTTCAGGTGTGAGGGTGCTGGGCCCAGAGTCTAATCTGAACTGAGGTTCAGCCTCCAGACAAGAGGAGATGGCACCGGAGGCCTTGGAGAAGGGCCCGCCCCTAAGTCAGTGCCCAGTCATCTAAGGGGCTATAAATAAAAGGGAGAGGTGTCTCTGGGGGTCCAGGAAAGAGACCTGGTGACAAAAGCCCTCGCTGAGGGCAGAGGGGTACTGGCTGGATTTAACACCTGGAAGGCAGCCCTGCCTTCTAGACCACGGGGTCTGGCCGTCTCTCTAACCGGAGGCGGCACCGACACCACCTTTCCCTGGGACAAGGGTCTGAGCAGAGAAGCTCAGGAGCCCTCTCACATCTGCCGTTGGGCTTGGAGTGGGTTGTATTATTTTTTAAAGCTCTGCATTGCTGTCTGATAGCACTTTCTGTGATGATGGACATGCTGTGTATCTTTCTGTTCAACACGGTAGCCATGCACCACATGTGGCGATGGAGCGCTTAAAATGAGGCTAGTGCCACTGAGAACCGGAGTTCTACATTGTATTTAATTTTGACCAGTTGGAGCTTAGAGAGCCACGTACAGCTTGTGGCCACAGCATCAGGCTCTATTGCACAGAACGGCTTTCAACAGTACGGATGGCTTCCACACCCATGATCTCCGTTGAGATCCGCAATAACTCTCTGAGGCAGCAATCATCGGGCCTACTTTACTGATGAGACAACTGAGGCACCAGTGGGAGAAGCTCAATGAGATGATGAGCTGTGCCCACGGCCACACAGCTGGATGCAGCTGAGCCGGAGTCAAACTGAGTCCTGCTGACCCCCAAACCCATGTTCTTACTGCTACTCTGTGGTTGACGAAGAGGCTCTGAGTGAGTGGAAGAGCAGCCCACGTGGGGGGAGAGGAGTGGCCCTAATGGTGGGAGCTCTTTCCAGAATCTTCCCCAGGCCTGCCCATTCCGAGTTTGGTCTCCTCCCAAAGGTGGAGGTTTTGTGTGGAAAATCTGAGCAAACCTCTGCTTGGCTGTTTTGGATCGGAGTGAAGGTAGAAGGGGCACAGCCAGAAGGCAGGGGGTTGGAGGAACAATGCCTTCTATTTCTTACTTTGAAAGCAATTTCGAGAGTTTCCTTTTATTCCCCTCTCTTCTGGCATCCTGCTAACTCCATGGAACTGAACTCCCCAAGCTGAAACTTTCCACATGCCTAATTCTCAGTGAGGTCGAGAGCGCCAGGGAGTGTGGAGCAGCCTGAGTTATGAATGGCCAAGGACTGGCATTGGTGAGGCTGGTAACAGCATCACCTTCTGGTTGTCTGAAGATGTGGCTTCCAACAGGGAGGGGCCTGGGTTTGTCCTCCGTGGCTAAACCTGGATATCCTGGTGTCGGGCTTGATAACCATTCACCAATATTCCATCAAATACGAACATCACGGCATTGTGCTTCCTAACACTTTTCCAATAATCAATCAACAAAATTTGCTCAAACCACATCCTCCATCCTGGGTGAGACACAGGATGTGTAAGACACAATCTTTGTTCTTGAGGAAAATCTCCGTTCTTCCTCATTGGGAGGAATGAGGCTCTGACAGTAAAACATAAAGACTTTGTGTCCAGCCATGTTTGAATTTTCTCTCTTGAAATTCCCACCGTGCTGCACAGAGCCACCTCTGCTGGCCACTCGGCATTTCTGTCTTGGCTTTGTCCAACGGCTGACTTCCATCGGCCACTCCAAGGCGGCTGACTTCCTCTCAGACACTTCAGTTTTGAGGTTGGTGCTCATTTGACAGAGGACTGTCTTGCTTCAGTCTCCTTTAAACAAAAGGGCACGTGACCCCTATTGCCTACTCTCCTTCCCAAAGTGTCCCCAACTTCTGGGTTTCATGCACCAGTAAAATATCCAAAAAACATTTTCGGCACCAAAGTGCAGTGGCCACGTTTCCCTTTTGCCAAATGAGGATGCTAGAAAAACAAACTACCCTTTGCCATCACGTGTAATTAGAAAAGGACATTTTTTAACACTAAAAAAGTAGGGAAGATGTAATTTCAAAATAAAAGACATTTTTTTAAATGGGCAGCACATTACGATGAACTCAGAAAACTGTTTTTATCTCCCTTAGTTTTATTGCTGACTAGTAAAAACTGTCAGAAGGATGTCCCCTTCACAGACAGGTACTCAGGGCCACCATGGGGGGCCACTTTGAGATGATGTGGGGGGAATGGAGAGAGAAGAGCAGAGTTTGTGCTCCAACCCCATAATGTAGAGGCTCAGCTCAGAGCAAAGCTACAGTGTTTGTTTCGTGAGGAAGTCAGTTCTCCCTGAGACCTAGGAAAATAACACAAGAGCGGACGAAAATGAAGTCCCCGAGGGCTGGCTCAACACCTCTGAAAACCTGACGCTTGTCGGAAAATCTTCCTTGGAGGATCTGGTCCAGAAAGGTTATCTTCCCAAGTAGCTTTTTTTCTGCCAACAAATCTGGCTGGTTTGGAAACTTTTTAGAATTTTTATTTACCACGATGTATACATATTCACATGCCATTTTTAAAATAGTTTTTCTCCCTAACTACCCACTTTCCACAAGTTGTTCATTGTACCAACTGGGGCCTGCCAACCCTGGTCTGCTCCGAGGACCTAATGCCCTGAGTGGTGAGGGGCTTCTGTGGTTAAGAGAAACCCACCACTGGGCACAGCTTCTTCCATGCAGGGACCTGTCTTGTCGTCTCTGTGCCCCCAGCACCCAGTATGACCAAGAGAGGGTACTTACTTAATGTTGGCAGAGTGAATTAGCAAGTAAGGCAGAACCAGAAGTAAGCGAGTCACGGCTGTGAGACACGGATCTGGGGCCTTGGATTTTAGAGAGTGGAAGATGCTGCTGAAGTCAAGAATGGGCCATCCTGAGTCCAGGAGGGGAAGGGCAGACGCTAGACTAGTTTCGAGAGGCTGTGAACAGCAAGGACCACCCACGGGCAGAGGAAGCGACAGCTAGACCAGTGTGCCCATACCGCTGCACGACCTTCCGCTCACCCATGGCCAGGCTGTGGGTCTCTGCTGGCAGAGAGGTGTGGCTTTGAGGGGCTAGGAGGGATGCAGCATCTGCGGTCCACGTGGGAAACCACTCAGGCCTTCCCTTTCTATGCCCTCCCTAAAGTAAACCAGGGCAGAGACCAGGCCTGGGCACGCCTCCGTCCCCAGGGTTTGCTGCCCCTGGTTTGGCTGTGGAGCTGGTCTCTGGTGGTGGTGGTGGTGACCTGGACCTGGTGGGTCTTCAGGTGGAGGCGGCGAACCCTGCCTCCGCCTTCCTCGCTGACTACTCTCCTACTCCGTCACAGGCCCCAGCCTCCCTGCACCTCTGACGACTCCTCAGACACTTCGTGTTCCTGCCAGCCCCAGGCACTTAGTACCTGCCTATCCCTGTGCCTGAAAGTGTATCTTTGCCCACCTGCCCCCTTTGCACCAGGCACAGCCTCTCACTCTTCAGGGAGGTCTGCCCTTGAATGTGCCTGGTTGGGCACAGACCACCATGTTGCCCGTGATACTGCCCGAAACGGCATTGTTCTCTTGTTTCTCATTTTCTTGTTCTTTACTGGTCTCCCTCCCTCTACTGCCATCTCCATATGGGCAAAGGCTCTGTCCCATGTGCCTAGCACACAGTAGGGACTCAGCCAGTGTTTACCGAATGAGTGAATGAGTGGCAGGTGGAGGAGACATTGGGTTTGAGTGTCCAGCATGAGCCTGACTGTGCTTTCCTGGGTTCCCACTGTTCCCCAGGGGAGGTCCTGGGAGAGGTGGGCTGGGCCCCGAGCTCCAGTGCATGCGCCTGCACGTGACTCTCCCTCGGCTGCTGGTCACTGGAGGTGACTGATGTTGCAAGATGATGAAGGGCAGTGAAGAGAGAAGAAGTCACGGCCCCCGTGGCCAGTGGCTGCGGCACACTGCCGGCTCGGAGGAAGAGGTCCTGTTCAGGCCCCCTTTACCCCCAAGCTGGACCTGAGCCCCAGAGCCAGGATCCTCCCAGCTTCCAGTCAAGAGTTCCACTGCTTGGGAAGGCGGGTGGGAGCTTCTGAGTGAGCAGGTGCTCTCAAAAGAGGAGGAAGAGGACAGACTGTCATGCTGAAGATGCCTTCGAGAGACCCCCAGGATCGCCCAGCCTTCGCAGCCCAGCTCACATGACTCATGAGGAAACTGAGGCTCCATGAGGTCAAGATCACATGACTCCGGGAGACAGAAAAAACCCCCAATAACTCAAACCCCTGATTTGAGGCCAGTGTTGAGCTCCTTCCCACTAACAAGACTCATTTATCATTCATTCATTCATTCAGTACTTATTGAGAACTTATACTCTGTGGCAGTCTCTATTCCAAGTTCTGGAGCTCCAGGAGTGAACAAAATAAAATGTCTGCACTCTGCCCTCACGGGGCTTCCAGTCTGGCACAGAGACGGACCACATGAAGCGGACTCCTAAGTGACTGGCGCAGTATCAGGAGGCTCTGCTGGAGGTGGCGGGGTGAGTGGCTCCACACCCCTGGCCATTCAGCCTCCGGTGTCCAAAGATAAGAGGCAAGCCTCGCCCTGAGGCCTGTGGGTGGAGGCGAAAGAGAAATGGGGCCAGGGAGCCTTCAGAGCCAGTAGTTGGTTTCCTGCTTGAGTGGAGGAGGCCAAGCAGCACGAGGCAGGGGCCCTTCTGACAGGTGGGTGCGGCCCTTGGCCCCTGCCCTCACGCCTCCCCCTGTCTCTCCAGCCGTGTGCCAGCCGCCATGCCAGAACAGGGGCTCCTGCAGCCGGCCCCAGCTCTGCGTGTGCCGTTCGGGCTTCCGAGGAGCCCGCTGCGAGGAGGTCATCCCGGAGGAGGAATTTGACCCCCAGAACTCCAGGCCAGCCCCCCGACGCTCAGCCGAGGGTTCACCCAACTTGCGCAGGAGCAGCCCCGCTCGAGAAAGCACAGCAGCCACGCCACTGACGCCACAGCTGCCACCAGCCAGGTAAGTCCCCTCCTCAGGGGGACGTCGGGCCTGGGGCTTATTCCTAGCACCATTTGGGGAAGACCTTGGAGAAGGCGGCCAGAGTTGTCCTTCCTCCCCTCCCCCCCACTGTTCCCCCCTCTCCCTGCCCCCACAGGAGGTGCAGAGAGGAGGGCAGGGGACCAGGGGTGCGGATGGCCTAGGCTCTGCCAGGTGGGGTGGACGGGGGAGAGGGGGGCAGGAGAAGGCTAGGGGGCATGTCCCTGGGACAAGGCTGTCTCTCTCTTTTTTAATCTTCACCCAAGTACCCATTTACTGATTTTAGGGAGAGTGGAAGGGAGGGATGGAGGGAGAAAGAGAGAGAAACATCGATGTGAGAGAGAAACTTTGATCAGTTGCCTTCCATAGGCACCCTGACAGGGGATCAAACCCACCACCTAGGTATGCGCCCTGACCAGGACCCAACCCGTGATATTTTGGTATACAGGATGACACTCCAACCCAATGAGCCACCTGGCCAGGGCCAGGACCAGGCTCTCCTGTTTGCAATCTTGGCATTGCCAATGCCTAGGTGGGTAACCCTGGGCACCTTATCTCTCTGATTCCTTATCGGTGGGGTGGGGACAAGGAGGATAACAATGACCGGGGAGTTGTTGTAAGGATTGGGTTATTAACACAAGGCAAGTGCTCAAAAACAGTGCCCGGCACACGGTGAACCCTTTATAAACGTCTCTGCTTCTCCACCCGTGGTCTCTGCGATGCGTGCAGGCAGCCCTCCTCGGCCAGGAAACCCCCCTCAAGTCACTCACCGCCCAGCACTAACCTCTCTCCTGGGAGGGGAAGAGGAGGAGCACGTAGGGGAAGGGAGGAGAAGAAAAAGGGGCGAAGGGAATGTTCACGGGCAGGATTCCCTGGCCTGCTTGTCAGCCAAACTGGCTAGACTTTCTCTAGCTCCGGACAGGAAACCTGAACTTTGTAAACTGGTCCATTTCTAGAGAGCTGTGTTTCCTTTTGGTTTTTCAGGTTAGTTTTTCCATTCGCTTTCTACTTCGGAAGTTCTTTGTGAAATGTTGCCACCTTGTCTTGCTGAACTAAGGGGAAAAAAAAGCATTTGCCCTTTCGGAGGCTGGGAGAACCAGGGAGAGAAGGCTGACTGGGAGGTCGCGCCGCCCCCCCCCCAAAAAGCTCAGAAGGGAAAAGAAAGGAGCCTGAGACGTTCCAGCCAGTCTGAAGAGGGTGCAGGCCAACCAGGGTCTTGGTTAGACGCAGTTTCAGGGCCTGGCCACCCAAGCAGGTGGTTTTCAAAGGCAGCCAGAAGCAGATGAACTCAGGCTGAAGCCCAGGAAGCTCCAAGGTCAAAGCTAGAAGAGCCAAACCCTTGGGCCAAGGTCTGGGGATGCTGGTACAGAGAGAGGGAGGGGCAGAGCTGAGGGACTAGGTGGACCACGCATGGGACAGGTGGGCAGGGCCTGAGCCTTGTTCCGATTAGTCTCAGCTGTGGGTCCCAGCTGGTGGGAAGGCGTCTGGAGGAGCCCCAGTGGGGCCAGCTCCAGGGCCCGCCAGGGACAGGGTGGGAGCAGCCCATCCAGCGGGGCTTTCCCCCTGCAAGCCGTCTTTTGGCTTGCATGATTCATTCATTTATAACGCACTGATCTCCTGTGAGCATTGGAGAGTGTTTGCTTGGCAGGTCATTCTGCCCTCCCTCCACTGAGTCAGAGCTGTCTGACATCACCCATCTAGCCAGCCCATCCTGCCTGCTCCCCACATTCTTCAAGGCCCATTCCTGCTTCCTCCAAACCTCCACTCCCCAATCACTTCTGCCTGGCCACCTGACTTCCTGCGGCACACACTTGGGGCACTTCCCCTCTGGTCTGTGTCCTGAAAGGCAGGGGCTCCATCTCAGCGCTCAGTCTGCTTTTGCACTCTGTCACTTGGTCGTAACCGAAGAGCCGGCATTTGAACCCTCACCCCAGGCCCGGAACCGAGAGCATAGCCCCTGTGCTGCTGAGGGTGCAGGAGGAGGTGAGGCTTCCTGCCTTCCTGGGTAGTACTTTTCACTCTGCCTGGGGGTGGTCTGTTTATTTGCTCACCAGACTAGGAGCTCCTGAGAGCAGGGACTATGGCCCCCTCTCCGTCAGTGACTGTGGCCCTGGTACCTAACGCTGCAGGTACTCAGTCAATAGCAGCTGGATGAATAAATGAATGAGACTTGATGCTGGGGAGAGGAAGTGCTGGGAAGAAAGGAGGACAAGCTAGGGGAGGGAGCCTTTGATCTCTCAGCCCAGTTTCAAATGAGCATGAGGTGCTGGAAGGTGAAGGCCCGCGGGAAGGTCTGCAGACCCACAGCAGGGCTGCCCTCTGAGCCTCACAGGCTCCCTGGCCGGGGGCTACTGTGATGTTTTTAATGAGCGGCAGTCTCCAGGCCAGCCCAGTCCTCTCTCTGCCCTGGGACCTCAGTGCCATGAAGTCTGGGAAAGTCCAAGTGGCCCGCTGTGGGCCCAGCTGTTTTGCTTTGGGAGACCAAACCCTGCTTGCCTGGTGGTGTCAGGCATTTCCTGTGAGCTTGGCCAGGTTTCCCAAGCAGCCGCTTGCCTCTGTCCTGATGGCAACTTGGACAAGCCCTTCGTGTCCAGCTACAGGGAGTGGCATGACTCGGGGGCATTCTAGGAGCAAGAGAGGGGTACAAAATGTCCAAGAGGGTGAGACACTGCAGGGATTGGTGATGGCCAGAGGCCTCCTTTAGGAGAGGATTACACGGAGGCTGAAAGACCTGTGCCCCAGAAGGCAGATGAGAGGGAGGGGCTGGGAGGGTCTCAGGCAGCAGGCAGGATGCTCTACTGAGAGATGAGGAGTGATGTTGCCCAGCCGTGGGCAGGGCTGAGTGCTCCTTCTGGGCCCCAGGTTGAGGCTTGTGCCCCAAGGCTGGGCAGAGGGCCTGTCCACCTGAGGGGCAAGGGCCAAGCAGCCAGGGAAGGGCCTTGAGAGACTGGGGAAGGAGGTGGTGACAGCCACCCGAAACTGGCAGGCCTTGGAAACCAGTGCTTTACACGGTGCTTCTCAGCACTGCAGTGGGAAGTGAACCAGCTGGGAACTTAACATGCAGCCTCCAATTCGGCAGCTCTGGGGAGGGGGGGGTGAATGTCAGGTCTCAGGTGATGCTGGTGCTGCTGGTCCTTGGACCACACCGTGAGTTGTGAGGGTCCTCACCTGGGCATTTGGACAGTCCTGGGTTCCAGTCCTAGATTTATTACTCCCCAGCTGTGTGACATTAGGCGAGCATCCTGACCTCTCTGAGTCAGAAGTCTCTACCTGCTTGGATTGCAGAGGATTAAATGAAGTCATATGAGTAGGTGCCTGGTTGGAGCTGGCGCTCAGTACCTGTTAGACGTCAGCAGGCTGGTTCTCTTTGCCTTGGGGACAAGAGTGCACAGAAGACTGTGGCAAAGAGCAGACCAGGGTGCGTGCACATGGTTGTGTGTGCGTATGTGCGCGCATGTGTGTTTGTGTACGCAGATCTGCTCTGGGGGGAAGTCAGAGCCCAGGCCCAGCCTCAGGGAAGGTGTGACTGGCAGACACAGCATCGGAATCACCAGTGGTGGCTTCGTTCAGCTTGGTTGTTCCACCAGGATCCATCTCATTGGCCTTATGGCAGATGGTGTCAAGGGCAGGTGTCACGACATTGGTCAGAGTGGGAGGGCTTCCACTGGGTGCTCGTGGGCCTGACCTGCGGACTTAGAGGTTGGCCCCTGGGGTCACCTAAGCATACTTGCTCAGTACTTGGGAAATAGGGGCCTAGAAGGCCATGCTGAGCACGACAAGTGGGGAGGGATGGTGGGGAGGTATCTGGAAGCTGTGGACCCTGTGGCGGTGGCTCTCCGTGGGCTGCACCTCCAGAAGCAGCTCTTCTCTGCACACCCCATCTCTTTATATCTCCTCTATTAGTTTCCTATGGCTGGGATAACAAATTGCCACAAATTTAGCAGCTTAAAACAATGCAAACTATTATCCCCCAGTTTTGTAGGTCACACCTCTTATGTGGGTCTGACCAGGCTAAAGTTGAGGGGTCACAGGGCTGAGCTCCTGGAGGCTCCAGGCGAGAACCTGTTTCCTTGCTCGTTCAGGCTGTTGACGGAACCCAGCTCCGTGCAGTTGTGGGACTGAGGTCCCGCTTCTCTGTGGTGGTGCCCAGAAGCTGCCCACACTCCTTGTCTTTGGCCACCCTCCTGTCTTCAGAGCTGGCAACGGCAGGCGCACTCTTCACCTTTCGAACCCCCTCTGCTTCCCTCTTTGGCTGAATCTCTTCCACTCACTCTTTTGCTTTCCCCACTTCTAAGGGCCCCTGTGGTCACACGGGGCCCACTGGGAGAACCCAGGACACTCTCCCCGTCTTAATGGCAGCTGATTAGCAACCTGAGTTCCATCTGTACTCTTGCTCTCCCCTGGCCATTTAATGTAGCACGTTCAAAGGCATCGCCGCAGGGAACGTAGATCGTAGTGGCCAGCCCTGCCTGCTCACTGCAGCCTGTTCCCACTGGGAGACACCGGGGCAGACCTGGCTCCTTCCCGGAGGGAGATGTCTCCCGTTTTCCTGTTATTTAATATCATATTGCCATCCTTTGGTAGTTCATAAGTGTGATGACTGGGTGTTCACATTCCCGAGTGATGTGTGCCTCCCACAAACCTAGACACAACATCGTCACATTACCCATCTGACGTGAACTTGGCAAAAGAATAGACAGAGTGTAAACCTCCAACTTGAGGGTCCCCTCCTTTGGCTCACTTTTTGTTTCCACAGTACTTTTTATTTTCCACTTTCTGACATGACATATCATTTATCATTATGTTTATTGTTTATCGTCTGTTTTTCCCCAAATGCAGTGTGAGCTCCTCAAGCGCAGGGGTCTTTGTTTCATTCAGACGTATCCCTGGCTCCCAGGACAGCTCCTAACAGACAGGAAGCATCAATAAACAGCTTCCGAGTGAACATCCTGCCACCACGTGTCTGTCCCCTATTGCTGCCCGGAGCAAAGACTGTGGCCTCGGGCCATTCCCTTCCGAGCTCGCACTCCGCCCCTCCCCTAGCGTGTAGTTGAGCAGGAAGGGGCTCTCCCAGTGCTCCCAACAGGTGGCTACCTGCCCGGCCTGTGCTCCTTGGCCGCGCGTGTCTGGAGCGAGGGCAGGCCGAGGGCCATAATCCTCTCCTAAGGGTGACTGCAGGCAGTCAGAGCAGGGCTTAGCAGACCCTTAGGGGTTCGGGGGAGCTGGTGCGGGGAGTTTGGTGCGGGGCTGTCGCAGCTGTGAAGGCGTCTCCTCCCAGCTTCTTCTGTCTTGTGGCCCTTAGAGGAGTCCCATGAACCCTCCCCTGGGGCTGTGGGTTTGGAACCCGGAAAGCTCCGAGGAGAGTGGTCAGAGGGAGGGAGATACTCCCTCATGGGCCTGCAGCCAGAACAAACGGAAAGGGCTTTGTTGTCCCAAATCTGAAGTCACAGAAGCCCTGCTGCTGCCTTTTGAAAGAGTAGAAAAGACGTGTGTTTTGGCCGTAAACTGCCTTCGCTGCCCACGGCCCCCTCCCCGCTGCTTGCAGAGTGTTCTGGAATGTAGGTGGGCCACATTGGGGTTTGTGCAGGGTCCCTTGGCACTCAGTCCCTGCCAGCTGTGCCCATCCCTGCCCGGCAGAGACTGCTGGGAGTAACCAGCGGGCAGGTCCGAAGCACTCAGTTCCTGCCAGGGAGAGGAGGGAGGCAGGCTGTTCTATGCAGGACCTTCCAGTCACTGGGCGTGACGCCAGGAGAGGACTGTCCCTTTGCTGACTCTACGACAGTCGCCCCAGGAACCGTGTTGTGTGTGGCCTGTGTGTGGTGACCCTGGCCCTGGCTTCTTCCCAGAGGGAAGTGGCTCCATTTTCCCCACAAAGTATGTTGCTTCAAGGCCGGCCTCTCCAGCTGGGTTTAGCTTCGGAGGCCCCTTCTACGTTTCTCCAAAAGGGAGGTGGGCCTTTGGGACCTCGTAGTGTTCATGTGCGCCTCTGCAACCCCCCAAATACGCTAGAGCTGTGGGGCTCAGGGCCTGGGCAGGACCGTAGCTGGCCTTAGGGGACCTGAGTGAATGACCAAAGACACAGGCTGTGGGCAGATGCAGCTGGGCACCCAATCTGGCCATGTTTTGACTTGAGGCCTAGGGGTGCTGGCAGAGGTCATGAGGAAGGTGGGGGCCGCGTGCCTCTCTGTGCAACAGAGCCTGCGAGCCCTTTCCTTCCGCCCTGTTCTGCTCGCCTCCAGGTTGGTGAAGATGCCGAGCTCAGGGGAGAAGGGGAGCTGGGGCCCTCTAACACCTCTCTCGCTCCCCATACAGAGCAAGTGGGCAGATTCCAGAGAAACGGTGTCTCCTTCCTATGCACTTCCTCTTACCTTCTCCCTCACCCTACTTAGGTATGCAGGTGGCCACCTGGCCTTGATGGCCTGAGGCAGCCCGCAGATCTCTGATGAAGACTGCGCGACTCCCCTTTCCGGCATTTTCGCAGAGCTGAGGATTATCCTTTGCTAGATCAGGTGCCAGAGAGGGACTTCCTCCTGGCCCAGCCCTGGCCCCAGCCCTCTACAATCTCTGAGGTGTGAGCCGTTGGCCCCCCACCTGCCTACCGCTGCAGCACAGTGATGGAGAAACTGCAAGCCTCTTCCTGTTCTAATTCCCCTTCTTCATCATCACCACCCACAGGGTTCACTGTGCCCTGCTCTGTGCTTTGAGCACCATACTAGATGCTCTGCCCTCCTCTGTCCTCTCCTCTCCTTCCCCACGCCAAAGTGCCCGCTCAGTGCCGTGCAGGTCATGGAGGATGCACCAAATGGCTCTTGGCCAGTCATGTTAAGTCTAAGTAGGGCACATAAATGGAGTGGTGTGCAGGGCTCCACCTGCCTCTGGAGTGGGGCCAGGCACCCGGGACCAGGGCGGCAGGGAGGGTCCCAGTGCTCACCACAGTGCTGACCCGGCCTCATCCTAGTGAGGCACCTGGAATTGCAGCTGCAGTGGTGGGCATTTGGGTCGGGACCGGGTGGGACTAAGGTTATGGTAGAGGTAACATTCCATTCACAACAGGGTGGTGGTTCGGCTAACCTGAGTGTGGTGTCATAATGAGGTTTTAACCAGAGAGCTGGGTTCTGGTTATGTCTCAGTGGAATTTAGGGATGTGTGGTTTTTTAGTGTGATAGGGTTGTTATTTTAACCTACCATGTATGAGCATTATTTTTTAAATTTCATTGATTGATTGGATTTTAGAGATAGGGAGAGAGAGAAACATCAGTTTGTTGTTCCACTCATTTATGCATTCATTGGTTGCTTCTTGTATGTGCTCTGACCAGAGATCGAACCTGCAACCTTGGCATCTCAGGATGATGCTCCAACCAACCAAGCTACCGGCCGGGGCTGTGAGCATCGTTGTGTCAGCTGGCCCGCTGCGCACAGCACTGCACAGGCACCACCTGCTCTAACACTGGGGACGGCGAGGCTCGGTGGTGAAGGGTGTAGTCATGCTCAGCCTCCTCACCCGATTCTGTCGCTCGCTAGCAGTTTGATCCTATATGAGTTTCTTTGCTTCCCTGAGTCTCATTATGAATCAATGAGGCTAGCACTGGCCAGCATAAAGTAAAATAGAGGGTTGCAGTCAGAATAAGTTAGAAAGTGGGTAAAGTGCTAAGCCATGTAGCTAAGTGCTCAACACCCGATAGCTGACACTCTTCCTTGTGGGCATCGGTCAGAGTTCTGCAGGAACTAGATGGCACGCTCAGCGGGGACAGTTGGGTAAAGGTCTGCCTGCAAGGACACAGGTGGGGTTAGGGGAAACAACAAGGGATGTGGCGCCCCGGTGGGGGCTGTGTAGGGACGCCCTTACAGAACCCTCCAGGTCTAAGGGAATAGGAACCTGGGCTCACTGGACCCCCAAGCAGCCATAGGAGAGGCCAGAACAGGCCTGTGGCCTCTGGCAGAAGAACACAGCCACTGCCCACCCACAGTGACAGGTCAAGAGAGACCTGGGAGGGTCAATGTCTCTGCTTCTGGCTGGGTCCCACGTGGGCCGAGCAGATGGAAGATCTCCAGCACATGGACCAGTCCCCAGTGACCCTATGAGGAGGGTACTCCTCTTGCCACCCGCTGCGCAATGAGGAATCCGAGGCAGGGTGGTTCCCTCCCACCTCTGCCCAAGAGTCCGTGCTTGCAGCCATTTGCTGATGAGCCCCTGCAGCAGGTGGGCTCAGGCCAGCAGAGACCAGCAGGCCTGGTGTCGGAGCTGCAGAAGACTGGGGCTGGCCTGCCATCCAGCCTCTTTCTCTAGGAACTACTGAAACCTGGCCAGAGGCTGGAGCAGCATTCTCCGGGGCCACATGCGTGAGGAGTGAAGGGAGCGGGTTCGGTCATGAACAGGTTAACATCTGCAGTTTCCAGCATGCAGCTTAAAAAAACAGAAACAACAAACATTTCAAGCGTGTGGCTACGCTTACAGCATTTAACTGACCTAATCCTCCAGGATTTTTGTTTGAAAGGAAAGAGTTAGGGAGAGATGAAGCAAGAAGGAAATGGAAAGATAGTTAATACTCTTTCTCAGATGCCCCAGGGAACGTCCGTCCCATCCGGTTGCTTCCTGCAGACCGTGGCTGCTCGGTAAATGCCACCCCGGGGGTTGGAGGGGTGTGTGCCTGGAGAGGCGGGGAGAGAGGGAGAGGCGTGGGGTGTGGGTGGAAAGCCGTGCTGAGAGCTCAGGCCTCAAAAATCATAATGCGGATTTTTCAGGTCCTGAGAACTTTCCTTTTGAGCTCAAGGTTTTTGAGTGTGTATCAGGTTTCACCTCTTGTCCACAACGTAGAGAAAGTTTTGGATTTATGGGTCCAGTAGTTTTTCCAGGTACGTGATGTTTAAATCCGCCACCACTTAAACTAATTTGCTGCTGTCAGAAAAAGGCAGTGTCAGCTCCCCAGGTGAATATCCCTTTACCAAAGTCAAGGGCATCAAAGCAGTGCAGCCAGAACCCCCACCCCCCGCACCCATATCTGCAGGTTCCACACCGCACGTTCAGGGAACTGCAGGTGGAAAATATTCAGAGAAAATGAGCTAAGTTGTCACTGACATGTACCGTATAGTTAGGCTTACGAGTCTGTATGGAACATGTACAGACTTTGGTTCTTGTCACCATTCCCTAAACAATACAGCCAAACAACCATTCCCATAGCATGTACATTGTATCAGGTATTATAAGGAATAGAGAGACAATTTAAAGTATGTGAGAGAACATGCATAGGTTATATGCAAAGTGGCTTCCGGTATGTGCGAGGAGGGGCAGGTCCAGCAGCCAGTCCCCCACGAATATGGAGGGAGGATTGTATCACGACAACAGGAGTAAGAAGGGGACTCTGGAGCGTGCGTTTGTTCCCACTTGTGGAACTGAGACGATGTGTCGGCGGTCCTCCCTGTCCTCCCCCATCACCAGCTCACCTGTGAGCACATTCCCGCCTCTGGGTGGGGCTGAGGAGGAAGACTTAAGTCTTGCAGGATAATTTTCCCAGAAAATTTTTCCTTTTCCCAGAAAAGAATTAAAAAGGAAAATGGGTTAAATACAAAGTCATCTGATGACTGGGGTTGTAAGAGTGGCTGCTTAGGACCCAGAGGGGTGTGTGTGCTTGTCTGTCTGTCTGTCTGTCTGCAGATGACATAGTAAAGATTGCTAAAT